GCCTCATGTGGACATAAGTGGGGCTTTTTTGGAGGTGGCTGGATCTACAGTGTGTGACACTGTAATTAATTCATAGTGCAGTGCTAGGCTAAAGGCACTAGGATTAAGGGTGTGAGTTCTACCTGCCCTAAGTAGTCTGGATAAGATAAAAGGGGAAGAAAGACACTGTTAGATCCCTTGTTTGCTTGCTTTTGCTGTGTTTTGCTTGCCTGAACTTCTCTTCTGTGATGCCCTTCTGCCGAACTACTGTGCCTAGAGCCAGCCAATTATGGACTGAAATCTGTACAAACTGTGAGCTAAATAAACCTTTCCCCTTTTAACTTTGGGTGTCAGATACAAGAGAAAAGTAACTAACACAGAATTTGGTACCAGAGAAGTGGAGTCATGGCTGTGATATTACCTGGCCATGTAGCTCAAGAGCCTTTGTGACTGGCTTGTGGGAAGAAGAGTTAGCAAAGGTTCAGAGATGCCAGCAGAAAAAAATAGAGCTAGAATGCCTTAGGCTGTACTGTATGTATTCTGGTCAGAGCTCAAAAGACCAGAAAGATGATGGAAATCTTGCCAGTAAGGACCAGATTCTGCAGATTTCTACTAGGAAGAAGGACTACTCTGGCTGTTGGACTCAGGCAATGTGTGTTATACCTTGGCAGAAAGTTTTTCTGCATTTTGCTCATGTCCCCAGACTTTGCTTGAGACTGAGATTAAGGGTGGCAGATTAATTAACTTGGCAGAAGAAATTTCAAGGCAGTCTAATGTTGAGGTGGTGGCATGGCTTCTGTTGGAGGCTCTTAGTCAGATTTATGTTGAGAATCAAGAGCCACAGCCCAGCAGAATGATTTAAAACATTTTGAGTGTGGCCAGAAAGGAAGCTCCAGTATAGCTGTTAACTGCAAAGATAGAGCAGGGGAGATCTTGATTGCCAAGGATAATAGAAAAGATGGCCTGAGGGTATCACAAGAAGTAGCAGAACTCCACCCTTTGCAGCCTCAAAATTGCAAAAGTGAAGGACTTTGTTTTAAGAAGAGAGCCCCAGAGCACCATGTTTCAGAATGATGGTGGACTAAAGAATTTGTTCCTTAGGATTGAGTTCAGAGTGCTCAGTGATCCAGGCACTTGACCCTTACAGCCAAGACAGAAGGAAGCCTGGGTACTGCTCTAGTTGGTGGCAGACCTCGGCATCATTCATATGACTCTGGTTTTAGGTGGATGCAGAATTCAAGAGTTGTATGGGGCTGGGGATTTAGCTCAGTGGTTCCGGCACCTGCCTCGCAAGCACAAGGACCGGAGTTCAATCCCTGGTACCAAAAAAAAAAAAAAAAGAGTTGTAGGGTTAGAAAGGATTCCAGCAAGATTTCAGAAGCAGGCCTGGGAGGCCAGGCAGTGTGCCCCTGAGAGGGCAATGTATAGGGCTGTGAGTGTGAAACTGAAAGTGCAGTGGAGACACCAGAAGATTGGAGAAGCCAGGAACATAGATCATTTAAGAAAAACTGCAAGGAGGGAGCAAAGCTGACCAAAGAGAGAAGCCATGGGAGCTACAACCACCTGCCATGCCCTAGGGGCAGAGCCACCCAAGCCCTTTAGAGTTTACAATTTGCCACAGATTGGCAGGGATACTAGAAGTGGAACTATGGGATTTAATGTTTGCCCTGCTAGATTTTGGACTTGCTTTGATCCTATTCCTTTGTATTGCCCTGTTTGTAACTTTTGGAAGGGAAATGCCTATCTTGTGCCAATGAACATTGGAAATATTTAACTTTCTTTGCATTTGTGCAGGGGTTTGCAGCTAAGACTTTGGCTTAAATCTCAGAGGAGACTTTGGACTTGGACTTTTCAGCAATGCTGAAACTGTTCGGACTTTGGGAACTCCTGGAGACGGACGAAATGCTTTTTTGCATCAAGGGATATGTGTGAGTCTTTGGGGGGCTAGAGGTGGAATGTTACAGCTTGTGATGTCCCCTCAAAGCTGTGCAGTCATAAATGGGGCTTTTTTACAGGTGGCTGGATCTAGAGCATGTGATGCTGGCATTGATTCATGGTGCAATAAAGATGCTAGTGCTACCTGCCCTAAGCAGTCTGGATAAGATAAAAGGGGCAGGAAGACACTGTTAAGGTCCTTTGTTTGCTTGCTTTTGCTTTCTTCTGGTTGCCATGAACTTCTCCTCTGCGATGCCCCTCTGCCAAGGCACCAGGCCTGGAGCCAGCCAATTATGGACTGAAACCTGTACAAACTGTGAGCTAAATAAAATTTTCCCCCTTTAACTTTGGGAGTCTGGCATTTTGTCTCAGCAATGAGAAAAAAGTAACTAACACAGAGGCTAAGTCTACTTGGCCATATAAGACATGTATAAGAATTAGAACACAATTTTATGATAAGTGCAAAAAAAGTGCCCAATAGAAATAAGTAAGAACAAAAACAGGACCCTGAGATTAAATCTGCTATTCTTCCCTCTTGCGTTCACTACCTCAAAGACCTAAGCCACGGTAGTGGTGTTAACCATTACGGCCATACTGAGTAATTTTCAAATGTATGCTTGAGCTTAAATCATGCACCTATGCCCCAGGCCTAAACCTTTTGCTGCCTGCAGGGACCCTTCATTTGGCTGCCCCGCCCCCAAGGCAGATATCACTGTGAAGAAACCAAGTACATCTAAAGCTGAACTCCAGCTCACTCCACCATGTCATATCCTGATTACTTCCCCTGGTTTCTGCTGTTTCTTCTAAGCCCCACTCCATTTAGGTGGGCAACACTTATGCTATGATTTGAGAAGGTAGTTAGAAGGCAGTGTGAGGACCCTAGAAAATGCTGGTGAGTATGAATGATGCTCAGGAGTGAAAAATGGCTTTCCTGTATGGAGATGTGGCCATTCTGCTGGAGAAACCACATATCATTTCATGTGATTACTGGCGTTTGCCTGTCTTCTTTGGAGAAATGTCTAGGTTCTTTGCTCATTTGTAAATTGTTTAAAATTTTATAGTTATTTTATAATATGGAATAATTCTGGGTATACAACAGGCATGAGAATGGGTATATTAGAGTGGTACGAAGAGGCAAGAAACCTTGGGAAAAGGGACAGGAGGTAGAGATGTCAAAGACATAAATTCTTTCCTTTAGGAAAGAGTAAAGAAAGTATACTCTTCAGATTCTGAGTTTATTTTAGTTTTGAAAATTTGCAACTTCATAAGGTTAAAGAAACACTAGTGAACTAGACTGTGAATATAACCATTACTTCAGAATACTACTTAAATTTTTTTTTTTTGTACCGGGGATCGAATTCAGGACCTTGCACTTGCGAGGCAGGCGGCGGAACTACTGAGCTAATCCCTGGCCCACTACTTAAATATTAAAAAGCAGGCAGGGAATTTAGCTCAGTGGTTCTGCCACCTGCCTCTCAAGCGCAAGGACCAGAGTTTGATCCCTAGTACCAAAAAAAAAAAAAGGAAATAAAAAGCCCTATCTTACAATCCTCTAATTTAAAAAACAAACTTCTTGGTATATAAGTCATATATAAGCCTATGACTATTTATACAGTAACATCTAAACTTGGAAAGTATGTTAATTGCAATAATGGATTACAAAAATAATTACTTATATAATACTTTTAATTGAGCATTTAATTATTTTTCACTTAGCAACAATTGATATACATAAATCATTGTGGGATATCATTATAAAAATACATGATACAGAGCTATAGAACCAATTCTTAATCATCATATAATTGATAGCCAGGTATTTAGCTCAGTGGTTCTGGCGCCTGCCTCACAAGCTCAAGGTCCTGAGTTTGATCCCCGGC